ATCCCATGTGCTCCTGGCAGCCTCCCCCACCACAGAACCCTCTATAGGTCTGTGTGCTGGCCCACCACCCCACCCGGAACCCCTAGGCTGCGCATTCGCTCAGCAATTTCCCTACCAAGAAAGCTCTAAGGGTTTCAATTACCGGCGCGTGGGATTTAGTGCCCTGGGCTTCTCTGACTGGAGGAGATTTATTTGAAGGTTTAGTGTCGTGGAGAATTCACGTCTTCACTCCCAGGAGCCCAGCTTCCGTCCCGAGCCCCTAAATCAGGAACCAAGATGGGCTATTGTCACTTACCGCATTAGCCTCGTTAGCGGACCAGGAGGGGTGATTAATAGCAATGCACACACAGCCATCCTGCTCATTGCTGCTCCTGCTGCTCCTCCTGACCTGGGAGGGGGTGGGGAGTGGCTAAGCCTGCTCCAGGATGACAGCCCCTTCCCCAGAACCAGGCAGGAAAGTCCATGCCACCCTTCCAGTTCTGAGGGTGGGGGGCAGTTAAAGGTTAGCAAGGCCAGCCTTTGAGGCCTGACTCCGGGGTGGAGGACAGGGGAGGTAGAATGTACGTAAGAGCTGGACAGGAATGTCTGTTCCATTTCCCAAACGCTCTTTGAGTGGTGTTATGGGCCAGGGACAAGGTAAGAACTAAAGACAATGCAAAGATAATGCACTGGGGGAGACCAACGGGGCCCTGAAGAGAGGATCTACATCTGCATAAGGAGGGAAAGAGGCTCACGTTGGGACATCAGGATGCCAGAAAGGTGGTAGAGAGGGAAGTGTGAGTGGATGAGGGTAGGGGGAGAAGCAGGTATGAGAGACAGGCGTTTGAGCGTGCGCAGGAGAAAGGGAAGGAAGCTGTGTGCGGGAGCTGTGTGAGGGATGGGGATGTGGGAAGCACACAGACTACTGTGTGTGAAGAATGTGAGGGGTGTGGCTGGGAGAAGGGTGAACTGGAATTAGGCTAAAGTGGGCTTTCAGTTCTGGCTACTTTATACATTTATTTATTCACTCAACAAATTGTTACTGAGAGTCAAGTAGCTTTTCTATGCCCACACCTCATTTTTCTTGGCTATAGATTGGAGATAATAATGATATTGCCTAAGAGAACGGTGTGATTTATGAGAGCAGAGTTCGGGGGCAGAAGCACCCTAGCACAGCGTACCAAACAGGTCAAGAAACGGTAGCTCTGGAGCTGGAACTCATCTGTCAATCCGGGTTTCCTTTCTCTTTCTTATCTCTTTTCCCTCCCTTTCTCAATCACAGTTGAACCACAGTATTAATTATTAGAACCAATTGACTGTTTAGACTCTGATGTTTTAACTAATCACCGCTAATGGCAAGCACTGTGGGCAATCACATTCATTTAGTTCCCAGGCAAACCTCTTCACACAGCGGAGAAGAGGCCAGAGGGAGGGGGTCCAGCAATAGCTGGGATTGGGAAATGATAGGGGTGGTCTCTGCCATCCAGAAATAAGTCCTTTTCCTGACAGCCCTGGTGAACCAGGTCCCTTGGGGGTAGGTCAGTTGAGCCGTACCTCAGAAGCGGGCTGGCTTCCTTCCTGTGCTTTTTAGCCCTTTGGCCTTAGTGTCCCTTTTGACACAGAATTCTGTCATGAAAATGAGCAATGGCCACCACCTTGGACTGTAAATATCTGACTTGCTCCCCTCGCCAAGCTTCTTTTTAGCCAGCGACTCCTCTAGAAGTCCACTTGTAGGGCCAGCCGCTGAGATGCTTATCTAAATCCCAGCTCCTCACAGGGTATCAGTTGATGCTGGTTGGAGTGCAGTACTGCACCCTGACCATCTGGACCTGGATTTGAGTGAAGATGGCAGACGAGCATATGCCCCATGCTGCTGAGTCTTGGCCAGGACTGAGGATGTGTCCCAAGCATTGTGTGCCTAAGAAGACACCTGCTAGCATGCCCTGCCTTCTTCACGCCAAGGCCTCAGGTCCCAGCCTACACACAGCCCTGATTCACTCTGAACCCAGGATCACTCTGTACCTACTCCAAACTCACTGGGGAGCCAGATCCCCAGAACTCAGGAATGCCAGCTTTAATTCAGGGTTTCAGGCCAGGAGAGGCTGGACCATAAAGCACACATGTTCTGGAGGTGGCCTAGACGTTCACAGCCAGTAGGTGTCGCTGTGGCTCCAGCACAGGGAGGGGGTACTAGGCAGGGGCCCTGGAGCAGGCCAAGGTGCTGTGGGTGCCCCTTGGCTTCCTGCCCCTGTCTCAGGCCTGCCAGGAAAGCTTTCACCCAAGCCTCTCAAACTAAGCATACTCCGGACACTTGGGGATTCATGTGAGGAGGTAGACTTGATTCAGCAGCTCTGGAGTGGGGCCCAGGTAGCATTTCCAAGAAGCTCCTAGGTGATGCCCACATGGCTGGCCATTGGCTGCCCTTTGAGTATCAAGGCCCTGACTAGGCAGCTCCCCACTGGAGAAAGCACAGGCTCCAAGGACAACCCTGACTCTCACTCTTACTTTGCTACATTAGGTTCTAACCATAGGCCCAGGGTAGCTACCAGAATCCCCTTGTTTTGGGGGGAGATAGACTTAGCTAGACCAACACAGGGCAGGCAATGCTTAGAGGCACTCTGAACTGAAATCGAACTCCAGGTCTCTGAGCCAACCAATTCCTACCTTCTAGCCTACCTAAACCTACAACCAACCCCAAATTCTCCCAAATAGCTCCAGTTCCCAGTGGGTTCCCCTTGTTTCTGTCCTCTCCCTTCATTGTCCTCCACAGCCTTCCTTGTCCTCCGCTTCACTTTCTTCTGGATACCAGCCTAAGTCAGAGCAATGAGCAGTGGGGTCTGAGGTCACATGCCCGGATCAGGAGCCATTGCTTCAGGCGGAGGAGATAGGCAGTCTAGAGAACAGGGATGCTCCAGATTCTTCCACTGGATCAAAGGGAAATCTTTATCCTTGTCACTCTGCTTTGTCCTGGGATGTGGGAAGGCAGAGCCCTGGCTTCAGGGGAAGAGGGAGGCAGTGTGGCTCTGTGGAGAGAGGGCAGGCGAGGCACCCATCAAGGGTTTCTCTCCAAATCCATGTTTCTATTTAGGACCTTCCTCCTTTCTATTCTTGTCCACTGTCCAGCCTTGCTGGGCAGCAAAGCAGCAGATACCCTCAGTGTTAACAGTCCACATGTGCTGGCTACTTCCAAGTCTGACATACTGTGTTTTCTTTTAAAGTGGGAATGCAATTGAATTAAATGGCTGGTTAACTAGTGATCTGTAGGACAGCAATTGTAAGTAGGAGGACTTTGGCCTTGCACTACCTGGAAAGCTACCTGCTGTGACCCACTCTTCAGACATAGCATACAGAAGACTGTACTCAAAATCTACTGCTTTTGAATGTACCACCTCCTTCCATCTAGAAACTTGAGCCAGGCATGACGGCTATCGATTGTAACCCAAGCACCTGAGAGGCTGAGGCAGAAGGTCTGCTCTGAGTTCGAGCCTAGTGTGGGTATCAGGCCTATCTGAACTACACGACAAAATTTGACTTTCTCTACCCTCCAACAGAAATAAAACAAATAACTAAATACCTCTATTTGGGAAAATTACCCCTGCAGTTAGAAAACACCCCCACATCAACAAAAAACCCTACAGTTTTATGAGTCACTTTTTCACCCCTTGAATACCTTGGGAAAGTTCCTGAATTCCTCTGTACTTTCTGTGAAGTGGGAAGGGTCAAGTCTTCACTTCACTAATAAAGATATTTGAATAGTGTCAGGCACTTCCAAGTCCTTTCGTTGGGTGTTTGCTATTATTATCAGTCTTATCATTAATATCTTTGGATATTTATCACTTTAGGTAGGGAAAGTTTCCTTTAATAGGACAGGCAAAAAACACTGTCCAAAAATTACGTATGACCGAGGTTTGCTCCCCAGTATTACATGGCGGTTCACAGCTATCTGTAACTCCAGTTCTAGGGGATCTGATGGCCTCTTCTGGCCTCTGAGGGTATCAAGCATGCACAAGGTGCACATGCATACATGCATACACATAAAATTAAATATTTCTAAACTTTAAAAAAGAACAAGATGTTGGGGCTGCTGTAGTCTGGGCAAAGGCACAGACAGGGCAGAGGGGGAGGGACTCTAACCTTTCCTTGTCCGAGGCAGGAAGTGGGAACAGGGAAGGGAGCTTCCCTTAGACAACCTAAGGCAAGTGACAGGCCCCTGTGGGCAGGCATTTGCTCTGCCCTGGGGAGGTAGCCTGGACTCAAGCCCCCCTAAAGACAGCGCTCTCTCTTTCAGCATTCAATCTGCTTCTACTCCAGCAATCCTTACTGACGCTCAGTGCTAGGCAGGATCCAGGACCAGAGCTGGGCTGAAACAGGGAACACGACTTAGGTGAGAAGCCTGGAAAGGCAGAATATGGGTTTTGGAGTTGGAGCGACCTGGCCTTTTGTTGTTGTTGTTGTTTTGTTTCTCAAGACAGAGTTTCTCTATGTAGCTTTGGCACCTTTCCTAGAACTCACTCTGTAGCCCAGGCTGGCCTCAAACTCACAGAGATCCGCTTGTCTCTGCCTCCCACGTGTTGGGATTAAAGGCGTGAGCCACCATCGCCTGGCTAGAGACCTGGTCTTGAACCTACCCTTAGTATTGCTAGCCGTATCCATGTCTCTGAGCCAGGACCACCACCCATAGGGGCTTCTCCTCACCTAGAGGCTCAGGACAATACTGCCTTCCTTGGTACTTTAACAATGATTGATATGTGTGACCTGAAGCCCAGGGACGTACACACTGTGAGGATCTTAGCATTGCTGCCCTGTAGGAGCTACTGTGGTCTGGGAATGCAGAGTGACAGGCTGACCATCCGCCTGGCCCTTCCCACATAGAGGTCAGTGGTCAGCAACAACAGGACAACAGGCTTATGTCATGAGGAGGGCAGCTGCATGGCGGGGGGGGGGGGGGGGGGGGGGGGGGGTGCTTGAAGCTGTATGCAGAGAGGGCCTCAGACAGAGAGGCAGTGGGAGGATGGGAGGATGGGAGGAGCTGGCCAGGCACAGCCTGTTACCAGCTGCGCAATGGGCTTCTCAGCAATGGGCTTCTCAGCAATGGGCTTCTCAGCAATGGGCTTCTCAGCAATGGGCTTCTCAGCAATGGGCTTCTCAGCAATGGGCTTCTCAGCAATGGGCTTCTCAGCAGTGAGCAGCTCCCTCTGGGGGACGCCCAGCTCCAGGGGCTTCAGTCACTCTTCTAGCTCTCAGCCCCCAGCTCTCATCACAGGGTAGGCTGTGAGAAGGAAGCAGGGCTCCAGGGAGGGACCCTACACACTCTGTTGCTCTGTGTCCTCTATTCCTCTTTCTTGTCTTTAAATTTTCTTTTGAAAATTACGTTTGTATGATTGTGTGTGTGTGTGTGTGTGTGTGTGTGTGTGTGTGTGTGCGTGTGTGTGAGAGAGAAAGAGAGAGAGAGAGAGAGAGAGAGAGAGAGAGAGAGAGAGAGAGAGAGAGAGAACAACTTTCAGCAGGTGATTCTCTCCTTACACTGTTCTGGGGATTAAATTCATAGCATCAGGCTCATCAGCAAGTGCACTGACCCACTGAACCATCTCGCTGGTCCCGTCCTTCCTTTTTTATCATGACCCATTCCAAACTCTGGAGACACTTCAGTGTTTGGGGCCATGCTTCTGGGGCTGCAGAGGGCTGGGAATGACGGGCCCACAGAAGACTACCGTGAGGCTGAGAGAAGGGCTGAGCAGGAATGAGGCCAGGACTGAGAGAGTTTCCTAGAAGAGACAGTGTGCACGGGCGTGCCAAGGGTGGGATGGAGCATGGAATGGTAAGAGAAGAAAAAGTGGAGCAAGAGTCAAGGTTGAGAGTTGACCTGCAGGGACCAGGTAGAGACTAGAGGGTAGAAAGAGCAGGCCTTCCCGCTGGAAGGGTCAGTGGGGCCTCCCCGGGCCTTTGTTTTGTAGACATTTCAGAGCCAGGAGGACATATGGCCCATGCTGTTGATTGGGGGTCTGCAGTATTTAGACAGGGGATTGAGGCTTGTGACTGAGCCGGGAGGCTTGTGACTGAAATAGTTCTTTATAGAAACCACAGACTGGCCACATCTTTCACCATACCCTAATATGCCAGGTGCTGGCCCAGTGAGAAGCATGGCAAAGGCAGCTGGGATTATCACTCCCATTTCACTGAGGTGAGAATGGAACCAAGACTCAGAGAAGTCAAGCACAGTGCCCTAAGCTCCACCTCTAACAGGTGCACAGCTGGAACCTAGCAGGTGTACAGCTGGAATGTAGCAGGTGTGCAGCTGGAATGTAGCAGGTGTACAGCTGGAACCTAGAATGTGTGCAGCTGGAATGTAGCAGTTGTACAGCTGAAACCTAGCATGTATACAGCTGGAACCTAGCATGTATACAGCTGGAACCTAGCAGGTGCACAGCTGGAACCTAGCAGGTGCACAGCTGGAATCTAGCAGGTACACAGCTGGAACTTGAAGGGTCTTGGTTCCTTAGCAAAGCCTACAGGTGTTGATGGACCACGGCTGAACTGGCTGGCCTGGGCTCTGACTGCTTCTTCCTCATGCAGCTGGTCCCACTGAATCCTTTCAGTTTCTCGAATGAGCCATATTCTGTCACCTTTGGGCCTTCAATAAGATCCTTTCCTTTGCCTGAACAACAACCTTTCTGAGCTCAGCTTCTGGGTTCACCCTTCCAGAAACACCCTCTTCAAGCCTTTCAGCTAGACAGTGTGCCCTGAAGCCCCGAGTCCTGCTTAACTGGTAGCCTGCTTATTTGGTTCCTTTCAGTCGGACCTGGTACTGTGAGTGAGGACCGCACACAGGTGAGTGGAAAGCTGAGCTGTCCCGGGCACCAACTCTGGTGCCAGCAGCAGCATTCTCCGAGTGCCTTTTGAGTAAGGGGCACTGGAGGAGGACTGGGTTCAAAGAATGGAGCATGCAAGCAGCAAACTCCAAGTTGAAGTTTAAGGCAAGACCTGACCTAAAGCAGGGAGTATTCAGGGCCCTGCATGGAAGGCTGGGGTGTGTTGGCTCTGGGAAGTAGGGGACTCATAAAGCTGGGAAAATGTCAACAGATGGAAGCTCCTTGGAGGACAGGTGGTGATAGATAGGTAAGTTTCATGGAGGGATGACTCTAAGTTCAGGGAAGGAGGGATATGGGGGAGGTAAAGATGGGCAGGACCCAGCCTTTATTTACCTAGCTTCTTCCTGTCCAACAGGGCCTGGGCCCCCCACCCTACCAACAGGCTTTCTGTGGGTGACTGCCTGGCAGCCTGTCTCCTCTAACAAGATGAGAGGATGAGCTGGTGTAGCATGGACCAAACCTGTGAATGCTAGCTTACGGGACCCGCTCCCTAGCTCTTGTTTACCACAGAAAGTGCATTCTCTAAAGGCCGTATCCGGGCCAGCACTTCTGCCTCAAAGCACACACAGGAGCTCCAGTGGGCCTGGTCTGTCTTTGGCAGTACCTCTGTTCTGGTGTCTGGCTTGGACCAGCAGCCTTCACCCATGTCTCCAACAGCATTTTGCAGCTTCGTGTGCCCCAGGACCCACAACCTATATACCTTCTCCTTGTAGCCTCAAACTAGGTGGGTGAGTGCATCCATTTCTCTGTCCTATACCCTCTAGGCCAGGTGTGCTGAGTCCACAAGGTTTTAGTCACCTATTCCCAGAGAGTCATCTCCTAGGTGATTCCCAGCCTAGATATTGTGTTGCTGTTGTTTTGCTTGCTTGGGTTTTTTGTTTTTTGTTTTTTTTTTTTTTTTTGGTTTTTTGAGACAGGGTTTCTCTGTGTAGCTTTGCGCCTTTCCTGGAACTCACTTGGTAGTCCAGGCTGCCCTCGAACTCACAGAGATCCGCCTGGCTCTGCCTCCCGAGTGCTGGGATTAAAGGCGTGCGCCACCACCGCCCGGCTCGGAGGCAGTAATTTTTTTGAGGCAGTGTCTCAGGTAGCCCAAGCTGGTCTCAAACTGCTGGTCTTCCTGCCGCTGCCTCCCACTGCTGGGAGGAGAAGTGCACTACCATGCCTGTCTCTTTGTTTTGTTTGTTTTTAGTGCAAGGGAACTCAGGGCTTGTGCGTTACAGGCAAGCACTCCACCAACTGAGCCAGGGGACCTGCCTGGAGACAGTAATTATTACGACCGAGGGTTCTTGTGCTGTGTGCCTGCCCAAGGTTGAGACAGACGCTGTTCCACGTTGGAGGTGGATAGTCTTCCTGTCCTAATTTCACAGAAAAGAACACTGGGGCTCAGAGATGCTTGATGACTTGCATGTCAGTGGGGAGGTGGAGGGCCTGGGATTCAAATGAGCACACTCCCTGCTTTGGACTGCTCTACAGCTCCCTAGGGAGGTGCAGTCTGGAAAGTGCAAGTCTTATTTGAGAAACAGTTGAGGCTTCTCCTCTGACCATCAGTGTTTTGAATTCAGCCTGGGCCACCCAGTGGGATGGGGATTCACAGAATAGCAGAAGGAATACCCAAAGCCAGGCGCTTCTCAGGGGGAAGGCACAGCCTTGTCCTGGAAAGCTGGAGAAGTTCTGGGGGAGGAGGCAGGCCATGGGCACCAGAAGGTGGTGAGAGGGTTGGTGGATGGTAAGGGAGGCCTGAAACCACAGGACCTGAATGTGGGAGGGTCACTAGTACTGTGTTGATCCCCTTGGTGGAGGGTGGGGACTGGCCATCTGCCGCACTCCTCACACCTGGGCCGGAACCCTGCTCATAGCCAACCCCGGCTCCAGCCACCTCTGCCCCCTGGCCTAGCAGCAAGCCCAGCTGGCTCACCTTCTCAATCAATACTGTGCTCTTAATGGGCCCAGCCACTAGCACCAACCAGGGGCATTAAATGTTAATTATATCTATTTGGATTTGAAAAATTTTATTACTCGAGTTAATTATGGCTAGAGTCATAAAAAGGTTTCAGAGCAAAAGGGCTGCCTTATTGGGGCCACTTTCTCTAAGACAGATTGGAAAGGCAAAGAAGAAATAAAAGCATCAGGCTCAGAGGGCAGCTGCCCCACATCTGCCCAGCTGTGGGCTCCTGGCTCAGGATCCGTGTCCCACCCCCACCACTCCACCCCATCAGGAAAAAGGCCTGAAATAGCACACACACACACACACACACACACACCCCAACACACATACCCAGAATACATGTTGGTACCCAGAATACATGTGAGGCCTGCCGCAGAAGGGCAAGGCCTCCTAGCCAAGCTCCTGAGATAAAGATTGCAGAAGTAGCCCAGGACTCCACTTCAAGTGGTCCAAACGCGGCGGCTACCTCCTGCTCAGCTCCACCCAGCCCTGCCTGATTGCTTCCTGCCAGCCCCTCTCTTGATTCATGGGCCTGACCTTGAGCTATAAAGTGCTCACTCTAGCGGGCACAGAGGCAGGATTTACAGCCTTGAGGTCAGCGGTAGGCAATGACACACACAATAGCTGACTCACAGGGTGCCCCATTCCCAGCCCACACATAACTCTTGCACATACAGGTACACACACACACACACACACACACACACACACACACACACACACACGCACACGCACACACACTCATGCCCAGGAGCTACTGGACTAACACATCTAGTGAGGAGAATGCCATTTGCAGAGCAAGTGCTTATTCTTGACGCTTTACAAGCATTTGTCTAATCCTTAGTGCCGATCCTGTGAGGTCAGCCCAAGTCGGCGGAGCTTGTTTTATAGAAGAGGGAGTGAATGAAGGCCGTTTGTTATTCCAGCATCTGTGAGGACAAGAGGACCAGCTCTCTGAGAACGCTGTGGCCTCCTCCAGAGCCACTCGCCTCGCTCCTCCACAGTGACCCTGTCCATTCTCTGCCTCTTGAGGAGTCTGCTCTTCTCTCTTCAGAGTTGGGTGTAACTTTTCTCTGAAAATGGCCGGCCTCTCCTTTGACTTGCTCTCTTTCCTCCGTGTCCCGGCCATCTACTTTCCGGGACAAGGGCCAGCAACTGTCATTTCATCTCCCTTTCGCTCTGGGACTCCTCTGGGACTTCCTCAGCAGCTCAGGAGCCTGTGGACACCATGGTCCCGTTCTGCCTGGCCTGTGGCTTTCCCGCACTGCTCTGACAGTCTCTTCTCCCCAGGGCCTGGTCTCAGCCTTAGGTCAACATCAGCTTTGCAGACACGAGTGCCTCTCTCCATGCCTCAGTTGCTCTGACTCAAGGGAGTGCTCTGCTTCCAGAGAACTGACCTTCTTAGCCCCTTAGTGTTCAACTTTACTGACTTTCTGCGTGACCTACACCTGCCTCCTGATGAGTGTCTCTCCTGAACTCCAGTGACCAATGGACAGATCCATTTGGATTTGCTACTGTTCCCTCAAATCTGACACTAAAGTTGGAAATAATGATCTTTTCTTTAAAATGTCTTCTCCTACCTTATTTCTACCCACCAAAATTGTGTGTGTGTGTGTGTGTGTGTGTGTGTTTCTGGCCTCCCCAAACACAGAGCCACTTAATAAATTAAACAAGTATTTTTGAGATTTTTCTATTCAGTTCTGAGGGGTACTCACGTTCTACTTCTGATCTCCTAGTCCCAGTAACAACCATTTGCCTAGCCAAGGTGCCCAGGTCAGCAGGAGTTGGGGGGTGGAGGCGAGAGGCAGGCAGAACAGGGAGGCTGTGTGATGCCTCAGAGAGGGACAGCTGTGGATGAGGTAGGGCTTGAGTCTATAACTGGCCCTGTGATCCATTTGTGTGACACCAGGCAAGTTATTTGAAGGAAATGTTCCCAGAATTCCCGCTCGGTGTCTTTCTATGCCCTGATCTAACCATCATTTCACTCTCAAGGCAACCTGCATAGTACTACAGCTATCTCATTTTAGAGAGCAGAAAACCAAACTGAGAGGGTTTTAAAAAATGGCTTACAGTCACAAAGCTTATTTCATGACAGAGCCAAGGTGTGTGCCCAGGTGGCCTGGCAGGGCATGCTTATGACTGTCTGTCAGACCTCAGGTTTTCCTCTGCCAGCATCTAAGACTACATGGGATTTCTGCTGTGTAAAGGGTGTGGATAAGGAACTGAGACGCCTCCACTGGACTTGAGAGTTGCCAGTAGTTGCTAGCCTTGGCATCAGCCGAGGTCAAGGTATATGAGGGATATCCAGGAAGGCTGCAGTGGCTTCTGGAGTGAAGACCAGAGAAGGGTGTGGGCAGGTATCACATGTGCACAGCCTATCCCTGACCCCGAGGAGAGAAGAGAGAGGGGGTGGTTGCCTGGGAAAGCACAAGAATGGGACCTATTAAAGAGTGGTTCCCATGTGGGGGTGTGGAAGAGCACCAGGGCTCCAGGAGAGAGGGTATCTGCAGGAAATCCAAGCCTAGGGCCGAGGGACTGCCCTGCTGTTGGAAAGAGAGAGAGGGCGCTCTTCCCTATTGGAGGGCTGAACTGGGTGAAGACTCCCAGGGATGGTGGTGGTGAAGCCATCTGAAGACACCATGCCCGGAGAGTCATGGGAGGCATTGAGTGTTTCTTCTCTGTGTGGCTGCAGGATGCCCAGGGCCAGCCTCAGAGGAGAAGCCTGGGTCCTTGATCAGAAGAGCTACCTCTGGCGATGCCCAGACAGGCCAGAGGCCTGAGTTTTGGCTACCTGAGCTGCAAGCAGCCCCTATCCTGCCTGTACCAGGGACTCCTCCAGCTGGGATTTCCCCAGCATTCAGACAAGCTTGGGGAGCCACCCCCTATTTCCAGAGCTGAAGTAATAAAGGGGAAAAATCAACATCCCAATGATCTTGTTTATGGTGCTAAGTAAGCTGTACAGCTTAATCCCTACGAGGTTAATGAATTTACAGCTTGCTTTGGAATTTGACAAGAGCTGTAAAACAGGAATGGACCACTCTGGGTTCCTTCCCCGGGCCTCTGCTGCCGTTGATGGAGGAGAGGGCAGGATTTAAGTGGTCGGTTCGTGGTTTTGAGCTGACTAGAAGGCTAACGCAAGGATCAATGGGCACTTCCAGTAACCCTCTGGCTAGTTCTGAGTGGGCAGCCCTGGGCTGGGCAAGTTGGAGTCTTCACATTTCAGGACCTTCAGGACTTTTGTGTACGTAACCTCTCTGAGCCTCTGTTTTTCTATATGCAAGGGACAGTTGACACTGTCCACCTTCGAGTGGAGCTGTGAGAAAGAGGTGAGGTCACGCAGGTAAAGAGGTTGGCATCAGGCCAGGTGGCGTTGGCGCACGCCTTTAATCCCAGCGCTCGGGAGGCAGAGCCAGGCAGATCTCTGTGAGTTTGAGGCCAGCCTGGGCTACAGAGTGAGATAGATCCCAGGACAGGCACAAAACTACACAGAGAAACCCTGTCTCAACGCCCCACCCCCACCAAAAAAAAGAGGTTAGCATTGGGTTTTGTAGACAGTGACAATGATAGTAATTATCGTTTCATTCAGTCTTAAATCAAAATTCGCTATTTGCTTGTCTATGGCCCCTCACCATTTACCCATCCATTCAGAAATTCAATAAATCATTATGGAGAAATTAGACTGCACGCCAGGCCCTGTGTCCGGTACAGTTTAGAGTGAGGCACAGACCTTAAAACACTCAACATCCCAGAGAGGAAGAAGGAATGGACAAGTTATCCTGGCAGCCCAGTGGAAGGGAGGCTGAGCTGCAGCTGCAGGCCAGGGGTCAGGAAAGCCTATCTAAAAACCAACCAACCAGCAAACAAAACAGAGAACTCAGTGTGAGCGCACAGTATTGTGATAGGTGAAAACCTTTGGAACAGGCATGGCTCAAAAAAAAAAAAAAAAAAAAAAAACAACAACAACAAAAAAAAAACCGGGGCATTCTGAGTCCTGCCAACAGAGAAGGCAGGGCTTTGGAACGGCGCTGTCAGAACAGTGATGAACTGGAAACCAGGATCGTCAGTGGGAGGACAGGGCTTCCTCTCACTCACGTCACTGTGCAAGTGGCCGAGGACAAGAGCCACACCGGGTGCTTTGGGTGTGCAGCACCCGGCACGGACTCTCACAGTAGGGCTTCACTCGACGTTTCTCAGATGAATAAATGGTCCTTTGTGTAAATGTATGTATCTGCTTCTGGGCATAAAACTCCACAAAAGAGACATCAATTTTCATCATTTTCTCTTTCATCCTGCCCGTTCACTCTTGAGAGTGCTCTCGCCAGGATTGCTAGCTCTGATGGGAAATTCTGAGATCTTCTCAGCACATGCAGAAATTTTAGCTCAGTGGATCACCCCCTCTTCTTGGACCTTTGTTTGGCTTCTGGAACATCACTCCACCCTCCAACCCCCATGCTTCCCTCACCCCCCCCAACCTCCCCCACCCCCATTCCGGTCTCATGAGATACCCTTGCTATCTCACTGCAAGCAGAGCGGAGCCGAGGTGTGTTAAGAAAGGACTTGAGAGAAAATGGATGGGTCGTCACCACAGCTCAGGACCCCTTCTGAACATGCAGAGTACTGACTTCTGAGGCTTGGTCATAGGGTGCGTCTCTTGCCTGTTTCCCTCATCAGAGCTCACCTCACTGCCCTAGTCCCCAACTCTAGTCTTTCTGAAGGTTTGTCTTTTACTCAGCCACCAGCCTTGTATTCTGGAGCCAGAGTTCTCGGTGACCTATTGATGACTCCCACCCAACAAGACAAGAGTCCAGGCACCTAGAGAAGCAGCTCCGTTTAGCTGGTAAGGTGTGTGTGTGTGGGGGGGTTGTCACATGCCACGGTGAGCAATGGGTGTTTTGTGCAGATGCCAGCGCCCACACAGATTATGCACCTTGGCCTCATTAACACCGGCTAATACCTACACCCAGGGCCCTGAACATGCAGAGGTGAAATCCAAGTGCCTAAAGATGACCAGAGCAAGAAGACCAGACCTGAGCCCCAGCTTTGGCCAGAGGAAACAGCAGAAATCCTAGGCTGTAGTCAGACTGCCCAGGCAGGCCAAGGACCCTGCCTTAGAGTTTTTTCCCGGGACTCTGTCTTTCCCATGTCCTCGGCTGTCTCATGGAATCCACACTTGGCCCCTCACCCTTTCCAACAGAATTCCATCTCTCTCTCCCTCTGCCCATAGGATGATCCCAAGGAGAAAGCCAAGGCTGGGGCTCTGTCATTCCCTTCCTGTGCACTCTGACCTGAGGGCAAGGGTTGCCCAGCAAGGGCTTTTTTTCTTCACAGTCCCTCTCTTCCTAATTTTCAAGCATGTGTGGGAAAGAACGTGGCCAAAGCAGATTCTTTTGTCAGAACCCTGGGGGAGCCCTTTGCTCTCCAGGGAGAGTCCCTGTGGGCTCCACCTGTCCAGCTGGCCCCACTGTAGGGGACAAGCAGCTGGGACCCGGCCTCCTGGCATAGAGGCTGAAACAGGCTAATGAATCCTGATGGGAGAAGTGACCTTTTCCAAATGCCACATGTCATTGGATTTTATATCACACAAGGACAATGTGCCATGGGTATTAAAATCGTTTTTCCAATAGTTATATATGTGTGTGAGTGTGGGGCATGGTCTGTATGACAAGAGGAAAATCCTAATGCAGATGTCATCAAATGAACCCTCGCCCCTCAGCACCAGACAGGCACCCCTTCAGGATACTCCCATGCTCCGCAGGCTTTGGCCCCAGACTTCAGCTTGTGTTTCTCCCAAGAGGACTGCCCTGGCCTTGACTCCACTGCCCTGCTCTCAGAAGAGGACAGCAAGATTTAGACAAGACAGACACTTAGCAATCTAAGCCCTGCTAGATACACGCTTGGCATGCTTAGGAAAGATGAAGGACCCTTGAGAAGGAGAACCACAGCTAGCCAGTCAGTTGGGCTGTGTAGGGCTCAGAGGAGACTAGAGTTCAGAAATCTGAGAGAATCTCTCCTTGGAGCCTAGAACCTCAGATTCCCTAGGAGGAAGTCTCAAATGACCGCATGGTGCAGCCTGTCTGAGTCTCCCTGACAGGTGGCTTCCCTAAACGCTGCCATAATGAAGAGACTCCAGGCGTTCCCAGATGGCATTGCTGCTCCAAAGAGCTTTGGCTGTTTAGGAAGCTCACGCACAGCTGGAGTTGCCGTCTGTCCCCTGGAAGTTCTACTCACTGGTCTGTGCTAAATTCTCTGGACTCAGATGACAAAGCCCATCAGGGCGACCCAACATTGACGAGAAGCTGAAGCAGCTGAAACCAGAATGCTCCCTAGTCTTTTCTCTGTGTTGAACATTTTTGGTCCATGCAGTGATTCCCTGTGTGGCCTGATGGCTAATATCTTGGCCTGTACCTGCCAAGTTCTGTTCCACTGAGACATCATTTCCTAGTATGATGGGGAACGTGAGGAAAGACGGCATCGGGAGTCAGCATCTCAAGGCGCTGGAGAGGCTCACTGGGGAAGAGCCACTGGCTGCTCCGGCAGAGGACCCAGGTGTGGTTCTCAGCACCCACACGATGGCTCCCAAGCTTCTGTGACTCCAGTGCCAGAGGATCTGATGTCCTTTTCTAGCCTCTTTGGATACCCGGAATGTGTGATGCACACGCACTTGCAGGCAAACAGTTATATATATATAAAATAAAAATAAAATATATATATATATATTTTTTAATCCTAGCCTATTCTTTTAGAGGGTGTGTGAAGAATTTGAATCATTTACTTGAACTTTTTGAGATTTGGGTTCTTTAACCTAACACTATCTTCT